GCAAGCGGACCCATCCTCCTCCTTCCCTAAACCCTACCAATTTTATGATCGACCCGCCCACCCGCTTACTTCCCTAAACCCAGCCGACGGTTTACAAAAGCCGTCCAGAAAAAGAAAAGCCCTTGTCTGATTTATACAAGGATTTCAGATTTGTCCACATTCTCACCCTGCTGTTCACGCGTTCACTTTATTTTTTGGATTCTGTTTTTGTCTTACCTGATTTCTGAACCGCTCTTCCCTGGACTCAAACCCGGTCGTCGTTGTCTTGGTCAGCTCCTCGCTGCGTTTTAAGTTCGCCGACGTACACAACGAGCTATCTTGACAAACTGGTTGCAGCAGGAAAGCCCTCAGCTGGTCAGCTGGTAAGCGCCAAAAGGAACTTCATCATATCGCCCCCTAGCGTTTGCTTAAATAAATGAAACGCAGCCATACATACCTTCAGCTAAATAATTTGCAGTCTCCAGAAACGTCCACGTGACCACGTTTTCAGAATGAGCCTGGGTTGGACGTATGAGCAGATAATATTTTTGTTTAATTAATGTCCATAATCCTATCTGTTTGCTCATATTTGAGTGCCCTGATCAAACAGGACTTTTTTGATGCTGAATTTATAATTTTTTCTCTTTAGCTGATCAATATGAATGTGTCTGTGACAGTGAGATCAGATGGTTCATCAGTATACAGTCATCATTTATTCATCTGCTTCCTCACAAATCTGCCCACCACATACAGTACCACCGCCTTCAGAAAAAAACATCTCGAGGACAAACAAAATAAATTAATTAATAAATATATCAGATTCTTCAGGAACACTTCAAAGCAGATAAAGCCAAAAGCTGTGTTTCCATCCAAAGATGCAAATTATATTTATGCGCAAAACTGGAATATGGCATGAGACACTCGTAAATACAGCAGGATTCATAGTCAATAAGGAACAGAAGAGCATCACCTCCTCAGCTCCTGCACAGATATCACTGAGTGAAGTGGAGTTTGCTGCACTGTTGCACAAAGACCCTCACACACACATTTATATCTGCAGACCAACATTACTGACACAAAGACCCTCACACACACATTTATATCTGCAGACCAACATTACTGACACAAAGACCCTCACACACATTTATATCTGCAGAGCAACAATGACGACGCAAATACCCTCACACACACATTTATATCTGCAGACAAACATTAATAACACAAAGACCCTCACACACACATTTATATCTGCAGACCAACATTACTGACACAAAGACCCTCACAC